TAGACTGGCGCAAATTTCATGAGCTGTGAGGAAGAGGAAATGGCGCCAGGTCCAGGGTGGGATATTCGAATAACTCCTTACAGCATTGTATCCTCACATCTAAATATGATAGTCTCCATTACACAGTTACCATACATTCCCTTAAATAAAAAGCCACAATACAAAATTAACAACAGGAAGAAAAATATAAATTTATAATGCAACGAAGCTAATGACATGCTACTGGATATGACAGTCTCCATTACACAGTTACTATATGTGCTCTTTAATGAAAAACCACAAAACAAAATCAAAAAAGGGAAGAAAAAAATGACATAATGCCATGAAGTTAAATAATATGCTATTGAATGACTAATGTATCACTGAAGAAATGAAAAAGAAAATCAAGGCCATTCTTGAAGAAAATGATGCTATTGTATGATCTATGAGTCAGTGAAGAATTTAATGAGAAAGTGTTTTTGAAGAGATGAAACTAAAAAAACAAAAAATCAAAATCCATGAGCTATAGTTTCCACTGATCTTTGTTGGTGAGATATACATCTCCTGTAGGCAACAAATAGATGGGTTTTGTTTTTTAATCCAGTCTACTTATCTATGACATTTGATTCATGGGTTTAAGTCATTTACATTCAGGGTTAGTATGTATGGGTAGTAATTTGATCCTGTCATTTAGCAATGGGTTGATTGATTTAGCATTGATTTAGTCCTCTGTTATTTTACTGAGATGTTCTTCACGTTTGCCTTTGGTTTTGGTGGGTGTTAATCCTCTTCTCTGTCAAGAGAACAACTTTAAGTATCATTTGTAGGGCAGGTTTGGAAGAAGCATATTCTTTTAACTTTTCTTTACTGTGGAAGAATTTTATTTCATTTTCAAAGAAAAAGGAAATTTTTGCTGGGTATGTTATCTGGGCTGACAAGTTTTTGCTTGTACAATCTGGAATATGTCACTCCATTCTCTTCTGGCCTGTAGAGTTTCCTGTGAGAGGTCTCCTGTGAGTTTAATTGGCATTCCTTTATATGTCAGTTGATTTTTTTCATGTGCACATTTAAGGATCTTTTCCTTATGTTTGATTGAAGAGAGCTTGATTATCATGTGTCTTGGTGAAGATTGCTTTTGGTCAAGCCTATTGGGAGTTCTGTGATCCTCCTGGATGTTGTTTCCCAATTCTTTCTCTCGATTAGGGAAATTTTCCCAATTCTTTCGTTAAATATTCTAAACCCAGCTTCTCTTCCTGCACCTTCTGGGACTCTCATAACTTTTGGCCTTTTAATAATGTGTTTCGGTTCTTGAATACTTATTTAGCTTGACCCAGCTCTGCTTCCAGCTTTTTGCTTGCTTCCTCCTCCTCCCACCCCACCCCCCGTGACAGGAAATATCTTCTAATTATAAGGTTCCTTCTTCTGCCTCCTTCATTCTATTTTGGAGACTCTCCACTATACTTTTAATTTGCTCCACTGTATTCTTCATTTCTGATAGATCAGCTTTCATTTGATTCATTTCCTGTGTGACATATTCCTTAAATTCCTTGAATGCCTGCTTTACGTACTTCTTGTTGATAAGAAACTTTACAACAAGTGTTTTGAATTCTGTGTCCCCCATTTTCTCAATGTTAACTCAGTTAACTCTGAGGTCGGCAAAGGCTTTTGCCCCTATACAGGGGAGTCTTCAGTAATATTTATTGTGCCTGTGTCCCTTCTTTTGCTCTTGGTCATTACACTTCTGGTTATCAGATTCTTCTCTTTGGGGCAAGTTTCTAAGCTCTGTCACCCACAGGTCTACAATTTGATTTTACTTATTGTGGTTGGTACATAGCTTTTTGTTTGCAGTCACTTATGCCACTCCCTCCAGTGAATTCCAGATCTAGGTTCTTATGTTAGATTTCTATGATGGTCTCATAGCCCCAGTTCCTGGCTCACCAGTCTCCACCTCCTGTGATGCTGTGCTGAGGCTGTACAGTTGTCTGTACAACCTTTCTCCCTGTTCCAGTTTCAACAGTTCCCAGGATTAGGGAGACACCAGGTATCCTATATAGCTTTGTCTGGCTTCACCTCCTGAGCAGCTGGTGAACATCCCTTCCCACCTTGTTGATGCCAGACTTCTGGCTGCTGGTGCAGTTCACATCGCTGCTCACTGAATGCTAGTGGGGTATTGGTCACTGCAACACCACACTGTTGTGTCTGCTGCTTTCCTGTGTCTGTCAGTCTCCGGGTGCCCCTTTGCTGTCATTCTGTCCTGTCCTATTTCCTGGAATGTGCCCTCGCTGGCTAATGTTACTCCAACTGTTTAAACGAGTCCTTACCCTGTTCCACCCTCTTGATTCTTCTATGTCATGCTGTTTTGATTACATTAGTTCTGTAGTATGTCCCAAAATCTCAAACTTCATCACTTCATTCAAGACTGCTTTGGCTATTTGGGGTTTTTGTGCCTCCATTTTGCAATTTAAAATCACTTGTCAAGATAAAAAAAGGTTAAAAAAAATCACCTGTCCAGTTCTGTGAAGAATGCCATTCGCATTCCAAAGGAAATTACTCAAAATCTGTAAGTTGTTTAGAATGGACATTTTAATAATATTAATTCTCAATTATTTTTTATCATCAATTTCTTTTATCAGTGCTTTGTAATGCTCATTTTAATCATGCTTAAGTGGTTACATTTATTTTTGTAGCTACTGTGAAGGGATTGCTTTTATAATTTCTTTCTCTTTTAGTTCATTATTGGAGTATAAAAACGCTACTGACTTTTTGTGCTGATTTTACATCCTGTGACTTTACTGAATTTGCTTATTAATTCTAATAGTCTTTTAATGGAATCCAGGCTTTTTTTACATAAGGACTCAAGTCATCTGCAAATAAGAATAATTTCACTTCTTACAGACCTATTTGAATGCCTTTTATTTCTTTCTACTAGTTAAGAGTTTCCAATTGTATTTTGAATAAAAACAGTGAGAGTGGACTTCTTATCTGAGTCCAGATCTTAGCAAGAAAGTTTATGCCCCTTCCCCACTCAACATAATATTGGCTATGGGATTCTCATTTGCAGTCTATTATGTTGAGACATTTCTGTAATCTGAAAGGATCCTCTGAATGCAAAGATCTTAACATTTTTTTTACCAAAATAAATTTAACTTTAAACTCCATGTTTCATGAGCACTTTTGAAAAATTCCTCCATTACTTTTCCAAATAAAAAATTATAAGCTTAACTATTTATTTATTTGAGAGTCAGAGTTACAAAGAGAAAGGAAATAGAGAGAGGTCTTCCATCTGCTGGCTCACTCCCCAAGTGGCTGAGCCAAGCTGAAGCCACTTCCATGGTAGGGACCCAACCATTTCAGCCATCTTCTGCTGCTGTTGCCTGGCCATGAGCAGGAAGTTGGATGGGAAGCAAAACAGCCAGGACATGGACCATTATCTATATGCAGTAACAGTGTCATAGGTAGTGTCACAACCCCAGCACCCCCTTGTATTTCATATTATATATATATTATTATATTTCATGCATTTTTAACGTCTATTTATTTGTTTTACATTGAAAACAGAGACACAGACAAGCAGAGATATCTCCAATCCAATCATTCACTCCACAGAAACAGTCAGGGTTAGGCCAGATTGAAGCCAGTAGCCAAGAACTCCATCCAGCTCTCCCAGGTGGGTGGCAGGGGCCCAAGAACCTTGGACCACTACCTGCTGCCTTCTAGGATGCTCATTAGTCAGAAGCTAGAACTATTAGGCCAGGCAAATCATAGAAAAATCACCTAATATCTGAGATGCTTAAAATCTAGTAAACCTCAATAAAGTCCTTAAAGTTTTATGCAGGGGCCAGCACTGTGGTGTAGCACAATTAAACCTCTGAATGCTAGGCCAGCATCCCATTCGGGCTCTGGTTCAAGTCCCAGCTGCTCCACTTCTGATCCGACTCTCTGCTAATATGCTTGGAAAAACAGTGAAAGATCACCCAGTCCTTGGGCCCCTGATTTTATATGGGAGACCAAGAAGTCCCAGCCTCCTGGCTTCAGACCGCCCCAGCTTTAGCTGTTGAGGCCATGTGGGGAGTGAACCAGAGGATGAAAGATCTATCTCTGTCTCTCTCCTTCTCCATCTGTAAATTTGCCTTCCAAATGAAAGTAAATAAATTTTTTAAAAAAATAAAGTTCCATGCAAAATATTCCCAGGGTTTGCCTTTTTGTTCCTGTGTGAAGGTAGGACTCTATGGTACACCCTCAATCAGATGAAGGTAAGAAATAAGCCAAGACCTACCATCAACAGGCAGAGTTACACCCCTATGTGCTGAACTTACCTTGAAAACAAGTACCAGCCCATGGCTCAGGGCTTCAGAAAAATTAAAGCTTTTCCAAGAAGCACAAAATGTACCTTACTCTGTGTTTCCTTTTTAAAGGCAACCTATGTGTTTTCTACGACAAGCTGCTTTGAATTCCAAAGACTAAATGACATAGGTGAAGATATTCTCTTTGTTACAGAAAACCCAGGGTCACAGAGGCATCCCAGGCCAGCAGCAGGCTGAGCTGGCATTCACATGCATGCATCCCACACTAGAGCGCTGGTTTCAATCCTGGTTGCTCTGTTTGCGACCCAGCACCCTTCCAACGCTCTGGGAACACAACCAAGGACAGCTAGTGCAGTCCTGCTACCCATGGTGGAGACAAGGATGGAGTCCTTAGGTCCTGCCTTCAACCTGGCCCAGACCTAGCTGCTGCAGCAACTCGGGAAGTGAGCCAACAGATGGAAGAGCTCTCTCTTTCTCTGTGTATCTTTCCCTCGCTCCCTGTTTCTGTGCCTGTCAAATACAAAAACAAACAAATCTTCAAAAGACAACTGAAAGAAATGAGCGAGAACATTAGCACCCACAGAAACCAGGATGTGCCACATATTAGCACCAGCTCAATCACAGAAAAGCACCTGTTTTCCAGTCCATGGAACTTAAAGAACCTCTTCCCAATGCTTTGCATGCCTGATCTGAATCATCTTAACCGTGTTTCCACAGCCACGGAACCCGCTGCGCAGGAGAAGTCTCTGCTGCCGCCAACAACAATATCTGTGGGGTGGGAGTGGCGTACAACTCCAAAGTTGCAGGTAAGCAGGCCCCATCAAAAAGCAGATGCCAAGCTGGGCTGCCAGTCCCAGCACAGATCACACCTGCTCCCCAGCCAGCTCAGGTCAGGCCCAGCCAAAAATCCCACTGGGGCAGAAATACTAGGCTTTGTTGATGTCGATTTAGTAGGCGTGGAAACACTTCTTGTTTTTATTTTAACCCTAGTGAAATATCAATATAACATTGAATTTTTAATGTAAGCATGAGATAAACACAGAAAGTGTGCAGATCATAAGCACACCATTCAAACTGGCCACACACTCAGCACCACCAGCATGGCCAGCCCCTCCCAGCTATCACCCAAATGTACAAGATTAACCATCACCTTGTTCCCTAACAGCAAATATTGGTGATTCCCAGTCTCTGAGCTTTTTATAAATGGATTTATGTTAATGCCTATAACATGCTTTGACAAGATTTACTTATGTAATTGAGATGTAGAGTTACACAGAGAAAGGAAAAGGCAATGAGTAGAGACAGAGAGAGATCTTCCATACATTGGGTTCACTCCCCAAATGTCACCAATGGCCAGGACTGGGTCAGGCCAAAGCCAGGAGCCAGGAGTTTCTTTTGGGTCTCGCACATGGGTGAAGGGGCCCCAACATTCAGGTCATCTTCCCCTAGTTTCCCAAATGCCTTAGCATGCAATTGGATCAGAAGTGGAGCAGCTAAGTCTCAAACCGGCGCCCATATGGGATGCCATAGTGGCAGACAGCAACTTAACCACAGTGCTCACCTGGTCAGCAACATTTTAGTGAGATTTGAACCAGACTCTAAAAAATAAGGTACATATTCTTTGTAAACACACTCAGAGCCCTTCGAAATGTTGCACACAATAAATTTCTTCATTAAGGACATATGTTCTATTTACAAACTTTTTATTTTGTTTTATGTGAAAGGCAAAGGAATCAAAGAGTAAGAGATCTTCTACCCACTGGTTCACTCTCCGAAGCAGTAGAGGCTGGGCCAGGCCAGGCCTGGAATTCATTCCAGGTCTCTCAGAAAGAAAAGATTCGGGCCTGGTGTGATAGCGTAGTGGTTAAAGTCCTCACCTTGCATGTACTGGGATCCCATATGATCGCTGGTTCTAATCCCGGCAGCCCTGCTTCCCATCCAGCTCCCTGTTTGTGGCTGGGAAAGCAGTCAAGGATGGCCTAAAGCCTTGAGACCCTGCACCTGCGTGGCTCCTGGCTCCTGGCTTTGAATTGGCTCAGCTCCAGCTGATGTGGTCACTTAGGGAGTGAACCATCGGCCAGAAGATCTTCCTCTCTATCTCCTCCTCTCTGCATATTCGCCTTTCCAATAAAAGTAAATAAATCTTTAAAAAAAAAAAAAAAAAGGTTCAAGTCAGCCCTGATGGCTTCCCAGAGTGCACCTGAGTAAGAAGCAGGTCTGGAAGTGGAGCCTGGACTTGAATCTAGGTGCTCCACTAAGGAAAGCTGCTCTTAGAATGTTTCTTTCGAGATCACAGTGGTAGGTGGTAGAAATGAACTCCCCAGCATCCCCCAAAGCAGAGAGATGAGTGGAGAGGGAGGGGCTGGGGAAGGGAGAGACTGCCAAACATTCAACAAGACACACGCCTTCTCCCAGGCGCCGCCTCTAACTGCTTCGTAACTGATTCCCAACCTCGATTTTTCTTTTTCATTTCCATTTTCTTGCTTTTTGTTTTCACAATTGTCTTGATTTTTTTTTTCTCCTAGCAATTTAATGGAACCACAAACTCCCTTTTGTGCTAACACATGCATTTTCAGGACCTAAATGGCTCAGCAGTCACCTCTGCAAAGTCTGCCGGCGCTGTCTGCCGCTTGCCCGCTCTCCCTGCTCTGTGGGCATCCCAAAGGGCAGCGCTCGCACTCGCCAGGGGCTGCCAGGGGCTGCCAGTGTGGACGGGGCCAGGCCAGCCGGCTTCACACTGGAGCCAAGCGGACCGGGCAGGTTCTGTACTCACAGGCCGAACCCACGGCAACGGGAAGACACCAAGCACGCGTCCCTGCAGCTCCGTGATCTTCTCCCCACACGGTTCTGTAGCCTGCGCCGTCCCAGGTGGCTGGCTTTTGAGCAAAGGGGGTTCTCCACAGGTTGCCTGCCAACATTAACCGAGTTGGGGGCAGCTTGCGGCTTTCTTGTCACTTGCACCCCCAAGAAAGCACCTCGGCCCTTCATACAACATCCCTAGTTCTCTTCGTTTAAAATCGCAAACATCAAAGCCCGAGGCCTCAAGCAGTCTGCTGAGGAGCGAGTTCTGAGGAGTCTGCTGTTAGGGGAGGAGAGCGGGATGAGCAGGTGTCACGGCTTCCCTCAGAACGGGGCCCCTCGTGGGGCACAGCGGCCATGGCCACCGCCTGGGGTGGCTCTGGGCCACCCACGGGCTCTCGGGCTGAGCACAGTCCACCTCCCGGGCACCGGGCCGTGACCTAACCCAAGGACCCGGAGGTGGCACGGCAGCAGCGCCCGCCTCACGGGAGGACGTCTGGGGCCGTGTCTGTCCTGAGGCCCAAAATGGCGCCCGCGTCACGCACGCCCAGCCTCCCGGGGCAGCCTGCGTCCTGCCGCTCCTGCTCCAGGAAATCCAGCCGTGTCCTTGGCCACGCACGCACGCCGGCTCCCGCCGCTCCAGGGCTGAGGAAGTGCCAGGCCCCGGTCCAGGCTTGGGGTGAACTCCCGGGTCCCGGCCAAGTCAAAGAATTCTTCTAGAGAACGCTCCCCACAACAATACACGAAGCCGAGTGTTGGCACTCTGAGTCCTTACAGTCACAGGGGACTGTTCTGTGCCTTCCACGTAGCACTTCTAGAAGTTGGCTGCTTTTTAATTATTCACCAAAATGGGTCAAATTCGCCCTGAAGTGGCTTGGCCTTCCAGAACGAAGCAAACGAGGCCCGGCGCGCCCCCTGGTGGCCAGGCGTGATCATTGCTCGCCCCAGCCGGCTCCTGGGCGAGGTGTGCCGTCTCCCAGATCGGCCTGGAAAAAGTTAAAGTGCTGTACACCTTTAGTCCGAAAATAAAAGCGGGGTGAAGGTAAGATTATAAATTGATTTCTCTAAAAGCAGCACTAAGTTTCTTCTTCTGTTTCTAAACTGCTCACATTTGCCTCAGGATTCATTTGTTAGCGATGTTATTACATCTTTGCTATTAGCTCCTGGTCTCTGAGTCAGTACTAAAATGTCTTATCCTAAAATTCCTACTTTAAAAAAAAAAGATTTATTTATTTTCATTGTAAAGTCAGATATAAAGAGAGAAAGACAGAGAAGATCTTTCATTCAACGATTTACTCCTCAAGCTGGCGGAACGGCTGGAGCTGAGTCAATCCAAAACCAGAAGCCAGGAGCTTCTTCCAGGTCTCCCACGCAGGTGCAGGGTCCCAAGGCTTTGGGCCATCCTCGACTGCTTTCCCAGGCCACAAACAGGGAGCTAGATGGGAAGTGGGGCTTCCGGGATTAGAACTGGCGCCCACATGAGATCCCAGCGTGTGCAAGGCGAGGACACTAACTGTTAGGCTGTAGTGCTGGGCCCTAAAAGTCTTACTTTTTTAAGATTTATTTTATTTACCTAAAAGTAAAGTATAATGGCCCAGGCTGGGCCAGGCGGGAGTTTCATTGGAGTCTTCCACAAGGGTGCAGGGTGCACCCAGGCCATCCTCTCTTTGTTTTTCCAGCTGCATTGACAGGAAGCTGCATAGAAGTTGGAGCAGCTGGGACGCAAACTGGTGTCCATATGAGGTGCCAGCATCACAGATAGTGGCTTAACCCACTGCACCACAACATGAGTTCCCAATATCGTCTCCTGCACCTTCACACAAGGTCACTGGTATATGTGGTACTAGCTCCATTTCCCTCCAAATAGTGAACCTTTGGTCCTAACAGTGCTGCCTCAGTGGCCCACCCTGTCCGGCTGGTATGTGCTGCTAAATTTAATTACCAGACCAACACGGGTCAACCTCTGAGAGGGCTTCAAAAGTTAATGAAAAAAAATGTATATTATGAAGAAATTATACTTGGATTTAAAGATTTTGCATGCCAAAACAGACTCATTTTTTCATTCCATTTTCCACAAATATTTTAAAATTCCTTCATACACTTTAGATAAAACCTACTAGCAAATATAAAATGCAAAGCGTGTCCACTGCAGCCGTTTAGGCGGTGACCCAACAGATGGAAGATCTCTCCCTCTCCCTCTCTTCCTCCCCCCCTTTGTGTGTGTTGCTTTGCCTTTCAAATAAAGAAATCAATAAATAATTTTCTTTAAAATGATTTTTAAAATAATTCAAAAATCTAGCGGTTAAGTATTCTTAAAAATCTAAAATTTTTCTACCAGCAAGGAATTGCTTTCATAAAATATTGTCATGATTACTGGCCAATAAGTTACAGACATTATATGCAAACTTTTATATACTACAGAACATATTGGTCAGACATTATTCACTGGCCAATAAATCATGTCAGCATATCTGTGTTCATACATATTTTATCTGAGTTTTTAATGTCAGCAAAAATCACCGTGAGGATGTTCATGAAGAGATTACAAATATTAGAAACCGAGTGGCCGTGAACTTGCTCTTAGCTCCTTAGCACAAAAGGTGACACCACTGGCATCTTGTGGGCAGATGTATCAGGCACCGGTAGCAGGTACAAGGACGCCTTGGGTAATCAGAGCAGGGGTGGAGGAGTGTGCTCACATCCACAGTCCCTGCAGCACTGCCCCCACCCCCCCAGCGTGAACCAGGCCTCTAAACACGGAAGAGGAACAGAGACACACCTCTAAGCCTTCTAGTGGCAGGCAAGCCTGGCCAGAGGTGGGATATAAGACCCCCGAGGTGCACTCTATGAATCCTTGCCGTTGAGTCACACCAGCCAGTAATGCGTGTATCAGCTGCCAATCTGCTGACTCCCCAACCTCTCTCTCTGCCTCTCTCCCTCCCTTCCCTATTCCACAGCAGCTCCTGGAGCACCCAGGGGCACAGAGAGGCCCTCCCTACAATCCTCAGGTCACCCTGAGCCCTTGGCTGAGCTGCTAAATGGTGCAGTTGCTTGCAAAATTAATATGGTATCTTATTCAATTAATGCATGCCTCATTCCTCCTAAGCTTAACATGATTAAAAGAATGTCAGTCTGGCGCCTAGTCCCTGAATATAAATGAGCCCTACTCCCAATTTGTGGCCAACTCTACCCTTCCCCCTTCTTCACTCCCCATCCCCCTTGATGCTGAAACAGCCAGAAGATGAATGCACACTAGCCTTGAGGTTCTTGTGGAATGCAAAGGGAGCCCATGAGGAAAGGAAAAAAAGAGGCGAAGGGGCCAGAGCAAGACGCTACCCAGCTGAGCCAACAGCACCCTGTGCTGGCAATGACTCCAGTCAGCTGCGTGGGTGGGCTTGCACCAACAAGGCCAACTTCGGCCAGGGTTGAATTTTCCCCAGCTTCTCATTGAGGTGGGACTCCCATTCCTGGGCATCTGGGCTCTATTCAAGACTTTCCTCCTTGCAGGTCAGTGAGTGCTGAACTCTTGGTGTTAACTTCCCAAGCACAGAGCCAGCATACTTTTGAGCAAAAAGTAATTTACTGAGCAGCTTTCTCTGTAGCCTGTTGTCTATCCTTGTCAAATATGGTTTTTTTTTCTGGTATATATATATATACCAAATATATATATATATATATATATTTTAAAGCAAGAGTTACAAAAAAAGTTACAAAAAGAGAGAGACATACAGAGAGAAAGGGGTCTTCAATCTACTGATTCACTCCTCCGGTGGCCACAATGACCTGGAACCTCCCCCTGAGTCTCCCACACACTCGAAGCATTCTCTGTTGCTTTCTCAATCCATAAGCAGAGAGCTGGATCAGAAGTGGAGCATCTGAGACTCAAACTGGTACCTTCCTAGGATGCTGGCACTACAGGCGGTAACTTAACCTGTTTATACCATAATGCCAAATCCTCAAATATATTTTTTAAGAAAATAAAACATTGGTAGAGCAAAGGCAAATGTAGAGCATTAAGCTTCCCAGCTCCTTATAAAATGAACCCTAAGAGTGAGCCCATGGAAAGCTGACACTAAAGATTAGGTTCCTGCCAAGTGAGAGTCCTCTTAGCATATGTTCACGGATGATCACAGGTTTGTTAGCAAAAATGATGACCTCGTGATGGATGAGTGATTGAGGATGGTTAACGAACTGGTTGCTTTGGTTTTGTGGGTCTGTCATCTCTGCTGGGCAGAAAATCAAGCAAATACAGTGATAATTCCAGACATGTATTTATCAAGCTTAAGATAAATACCAAGCATTCCGTCGATCCCCAAGGACATGGACGTGAACAAAATAGACATGTCACTTGGACTCCAAGACCTTGCCATCCGGTGGTGCATGGAACATTCTAAGCATTTGTGATGGTTAAAGATGCATGGAGAGCAGGTGCAGTCCATGTAGAAAGGGTGTTCCCTGAGCCAGCAAGGAGGAAAGAGAGACCCTGGCACTTCAGCAATCTGAATACAGTAAATCCCTAATGAGAAAAAAAAGCAACTTCAAGTCACAACTTCAAGCCAACTGCCCTTGCCCTGCGGAACCTGACTTGTGTTCCATGTTAGACAGTGAGGTTTATGAAAGAGAGTCTTTGAATAACGATGTCCATTAGCCTTGTGGGGCACAAAGGATGTCAGGATCCAGATGTGTTTTGTAAAGATTGATTTCTTTCTTTGAAATCCAGACTTACAAAAAGAGTGGAGGAGAAAGAGAGATCTTCAATCTGCTGGTTCAGATGGCCACAATGGCCAGGGCTAGGTGGATCAGAATCCAAGGCCCAGGAGCTTCCTCTGGGTCTCCCATGGGGTTGTAGAGGCCAAAGCACCTAGGCCATCTTATGCTGCTTTCCTAGGTACATTAACAAGGAGCTGGATCAGAAGTGGAGCAGCCAGGATTACCCAGGTTCTCAACCAGGGCACCTGTGTGAAATGCCCACACCAACCACCCACTAACAACACTAGCCCGAAGCCCTACAAGGTCCTGCCAGCCTTGGGGCCAGCCCATTGTCTGGCGTCCCAGAGGAAAAAACCTTGCAGAGTAATGTGGCCCCTGCAGTAGGGAACATTCCACAGGGAGCCTTACGGGGGGCAGAGGTGCAGAAAGCCCATCCCACTGACTGCTAGTGGGTTAGCCCTGGCTGACCTTTTGCATACAGCCGGAGAATGATGTGAGCCATGCTTTCCAGAGCAGAGGCAGCAGAAACAGCAGCCACCCACCCGTTTTCTCCCTGCACCCCAGTATGCTGGCTGAATGTGCTTCCACTTCATCAGACCTGTGGGACACTGCTCCAGGAAGTGTCAGAGAGTGACACAAGCTTTCCAGAGATGTGTTATACACGAAGGGCAGGGGTCTGGCTAACTCACACTCCCTGTAATAACACAATTCAGAATAGCACACGTCCCTCTCCCCGCCCTCCTGTCACAGTTCAGCTGGACAGTCTCACCCTGCTGGACTCTCCCTACCCCTCCCCCTTCCTGCCCTCTGCCCTTTGCCCCCTTAGCTAATTTCTTCCCTCCTTTGTCATGCACAATACCTTTGTGTCTCCTCAATCAACATCCCAATGCCTGGAGAAACTGGCCAATCTGGGGAGTCACCTCTGGTCTCTCATTAGGAACCCAGGAGAGGGACCCAGCGCAATAGCCTAGTGGTAAATCCTCGCCTTGCACACCTGGGATCTCATGTGGTTGCCAGTCCTAATCCCATCAGCTCCCGCTTCCCATCTAGCTCCCTGCTGGTGGCCTGGGAAAGCAGTTGAGGACGGCCTAAAGCCTTGGGACCCTGCACCTGTGTGGGAGACCTGGAAGAAGCTCCTGGCTTCTGGCTTTGGATTGACTCAGCTCCAGCCGTTGTGGTCGCTTGGGAAGTGAACCATCAGATGGAAGATCTTCCTCTCTGTCTCTCTTTCTCTCTTTATATCTGACTTTCCAATAAAAATAAACACATCTTCAAAAAAAAAAGAGGAACCCCCAGAGGAGCAGGCTAGGGCAATAAAATGATCTTCAACCACTTACGTGAGGCAGACTGAGGTAGGGTGCACACAGAGGCCTCCACAGTATCCTTTTGGGCACCTGGCGGGGCCCTAACCCTTTCAGGACCCAAGCCCTCCTCCACCCCAAGTTCCCTGTGAACTGTAACACCAAACCTGGCGTTCCCTCTGCTCGCACCTGCCCACAGGTATCCGGATGCTGGACCAGCCATTCATGACGGACATCATCGAGGCCTCCTCCATCAGTCACATGCCCCAACTGATAGACATCTACAGTGCCAGCTGGGGCCCCACGGACAATGGCAAGACCGTGGACGGGCCCCGGGAGCTCACACTTCAGGCCATGGCTGATGGTGTAAACAAGGTAAAGACATATGTTTACCGGATGGGACATATAACAAGTGAAGTGGTGTGACAGTAAAGCAAACGGAGGAGGGCCAGGGCAGGCTAAGAATAGAGCTGTTACCTTGTGCGTTAGGTCAGGGATACTGCTAGAAACAGATAGCAAGACAGGTGCCTTGGAAGGGACTTCTATGCAGGATACAGCTAAGGGGATGGAAGAATGAAGGGGAAACTTCGGCAGGGCCTGAACCCCCTGGGAGGGGGAGAGGGAAGGACAGAGGGTTGGGGAGGGAGGGGGGTGTCTCAGACTGCAGTTCCGCTTGCAGGATGTTGGATGCTCCATTGGATCACACTGCTTAGTGGTTGGCTGGGAGCCACCTGCAGCAGAGGGATCTGAGCGCAGACTGGAGGGTGGATGCAAGGGCCAGCCCCAGGGACCAGGAGTCCATTGCTCCCACGGCAGCAGGTCTGAGTGATGCATTTCCAAGGCTGCAGCTCCTGGAGATGAACCTGGCAGGGAGCAGAGCCCAGGAGAAGGGATGGAGACAGCACCTTCTCCAGGAGGGTGGCCAGGAGTGGAAGTGCAGTGATCATGGGGCAAGGAGACAAGAGCTCCTTTTGTGGGGTCTCAGGGCAGGGACCACCCCAGACAAGTCAGAGCCCAGGCTCAAGGGCTTCACACCAGCGCAGTGGTCAGAACTGGCCTGGTTCAGTGAGAGATGTGACCTCGCTGACCTTGCTGCACCAATTTCTCACCTATGGAATTATGAGTCCTGCCTGGGTGTTTGTTGTCAGCTGTACATGAGATCAACGCGCACTCATGTGCAGTAAGTGTCCAGCAAATGACAGCTGCCCTGTCACTACTGTCACTAATGACCTTAATGGCTCAGCACGACTGTTTGATGAGACGTATGGCTCCCCCATGGCTCAGGAGATCGGCCAGGGTTGGCTGAGCAGCAATTTCAAAGCTGTGGGTCTGCACAGCTGTTTTGATGCCTCGTGCCATCTCCATATTGCAACCCACCGGTCACGCATCAGGAGAGATTGCCAGCAGTTCTCTGTGATCAGCCATGCCTGTAGGGGCTTAGATACCATAGACTCCAACAACAGTGTGTGCAGAAAGCGAATGCACCCCAAGCAAGGGGAAGAAAAATGTCTGACATTGCGTTGGAACACCATTTGAGGAGTTTTTAAAGATGTATCTTATTTGAAAGGCAGAATTGCAGTGAGAACAATCTTCCAGCTGCTGATTCACTCCCCAAAAGGCTGCAACAGCCAGGGTTGGGATAGACTGGAGCCAGGTGCCAGAAGCTCCTTCCTGGTCTCCCACATGAGTGCAGGGGCCCAAACACTGTCCATATTTCTGTTGCTTTCTTGGGCACATTAGCAGGGAGCTGAACCAGAAGCGGGATTGCCAGGACTCAAACCAGCACCCGTATGGGATGCTCGTGCTGCAGGTTACACCACAGTCCTGCACCCAGGGGCTTCAGAACAGTTTCACTGCATCTCAGAGCTAGCTGCTTCTTTCTCCTCCATCTGGAAGCCTCTCTGACTATAGCTAGAGGCCCTTGCCTGCATGACTGTTTTTGCAAAACATGCCAAACACACTGCGACTTGAAGAAAAGTTGTTCCTAACTCATCTTCACGTGGCAGATGTAAATATTTCAGGAACTGAAGTTCGTATGATGAAACTACACAGTTTCTTATCTGATTTTTGCTGGTCTCCTGGAATGACTCGCTCCAAGGTGATTCTTTTTTTGTTACTTTGCAAGTGATGGTATGCTATATATTAGCAAAGATTTGCTTCCAAACATTTCCATTGTCTTGATAATGCTTAAGGAAAACCCACCTCTGAAAGGTGAAGACCAAATTCTTAATGTCTGCCTCCAGACTTTGTTTAACCAACACATTTATGATTTTAAAAAAAAAAGAAAAGAAAAGAAAGAAGGGGAGCCTGGTGCAATAGCCTAGTGACTAAAATCCTTGCCTTGCATGCACTGGGATCCCATACAGGCACCAGTTCATGTCCTGGATGCTCCACTTCCCATCCAGCTCCCTGCTTGTACCCTGGGAAAGCAGTCAAGGACAGCTCAATGCCGTGGGACTCTGCACCTGTGTGGGAGACCCGGAAGAAGCACCTAATTCCTGGCTTTGACTCAGCTGAGCTCTTGCTGTTGCAGCCACTTGGGGATTAAAACAGTGGATAGAAGATTTTTCTGTTTCTCCTTTTCTCTGTAAATATGACTTTCCAATAAAAGTAAAATAAATATTTTAAAAATTGTGAAATGATATACTTCTTTTTAAAAAGAGGAAATGGAAGACCTTTGTCAGGACATGTCTGCCACAGAACCCCTACCACTCAACTGTTTAGTGTGGGCCTCACATACAAATGTCATGTACCCTCCTTCTTCCTCAAGGACTTGGGTTTGCAGCTCAGTGAATATTTGAGACAGACAAGGCACTAAACACGAGATGTGACAGATACTCCTGAATTATAACACGTAATGACCAACTACCTCAGTTTGGAATCCCCCAAAAGCAGACCCAAAGCAACAAGATTGAGATCAAGATGTTCAGGGCAAGGAAAAAGGAAAGCCAGCAGTAATGGGGTAGGTCTGAGAGAAAAGAGCAGGCTAGGGGCAGGCTAAGTCATTAGGCCAGCTACCACTGGGTACAGCTGCACAGCAGTCCCACTGGGAAACCTTGGAGGACCATTTCCACCCTGGGACCGACCATATTGCAGTTTGCTCCCAGGTACGAATCATTTCAGCCCCAGGACAGGTGGGCGGGTACCCACCGCAGTCTGCTGGGACTGCCAGGGTGCAGTTACAGCAGTCCTAACTGGAGCCAGGCCGCCACCACTCTGTGGATCAGTGACACACCAGGAAGGCGATGTGTCCTTTGTTCCCAGAAAGAATATAACCCTTGTAAGGAGACTGGCCAGAGGAGGAATTCAGACAACTGGAGGGTCCTGCAATTGACAACTGATTTGTGATCTCTTCTCCCCATCTGCAAGAAGTGCAGTCCCCACAGGCCACCCTGACTTGGGGAACAACACCCCAGTTTCTTATTCTTCATTCCTTGGGGTTGCTGACAGGAATATTTACATTTTCTTATTGGGGTTGCTGACTGGAATATTTAAAGCTTAAAAAAAAAATGTGTAAGATACAGAGGAGACAAAGATTGATGTTTACTCTTTCTTGGGAGATTGCAAAGTTGCCAGCTAGATCCCAGTTCTTTGGTTGGAATGCATGGGAAGGTGCCAGTTGCCAGAGACTGGCTCTAAATCTACTCCCCAGAGAGGAGGGGCAGGGACAGAACACTGCACTGGAAGACAGTGATTAATTAGGCATAGGTGAGGTAAGGCCATGGGGCTGCCAGCTGAAATTTAATCAGAGCGTGGGTCAGACACGGAGGCAGCAAGGGCTAGGGCATGTGACAGGCAATGAATGCCTCTTGCCAGGGAACTCTCCAGAATTCTCCATGAGCCAAGATTTATGCTCTGTAACTACGAGAAGATCAGCATGCAAGCAAGGCAGCTGCAGTAAAGGAGTGTGCAGCTGTGCCTCGGCAGGAGCAGGTGCAATTCCAGCTCCTTCCAGAGAAAAAAGAAAGGAAGGCTGGCTGAGGCTGGGTGTGAGCTGTCCCAGTTCACCCTGGACTTACCTGGCTTCAACAGGAAACCCTGTCTAAGCAACTCTGAACCACGCCAGACAGTTGCTCACTCCATTCTTGGGCACTACTGAGGAAATGACCCCTCAGGACCTGCAGCATCAGCAACATTTATCACCATGTGGAGTAAGCAAGACTGTGGTCTGCGAGATTCTGACATCCAGGGTTGTGACCCTAAAGGCCAGGAAATAATAAGAAACACCCACAGGTGCCATGGGACATGCATCAAGTGGAGAATTCGGATCAAAGCTAAGAGTGGCTATTCCATTCTCAATTTGGCTTTTCTGGAGATTCCCCACACCCCACTCGTGCTGAACATCCATAAACCCAACCACAGGCAGGTGTGCTTGCTCTGTGAGATCCTGCCACCCTCTGCTCCCCCTACAAATGAACTACCTGTTTGCAGATCCTTGTCTCAGCATCTAGAGTTGTGCCTAAGGACTTTGAATTTCAACTACAGAAAAACAAGAGGAAGGTAACTCAAAGCAACAAGGTCCCATCTTTATCCCCTAAGTCACAGTAATCCTGACCCCTGACCGAGTGTACTGGATACGAAGTTGTCTGCAGTCCTGGTAAAAAGAGAAATTGTTACTGAACTTCAAAAGAGAAATACTACTGATTAAGAATCATCAAACATGTATTCTTTTTCATGCAAAACTTCCCTCCTGGAGAAATTCTTTTTTTTTTTTTAATAAGATTGGGTGGTATTCTTTCTTTAAATATTGATTTTTAAATTTTTATTTGAAAGGCTCAGTTACAGAGAGAAGAGACAGCTTCGTTGGTTCAATCCCCCAAAGGCCACAACAGCCAGAGCTGAGCCAATCCAAAGCCAGGAGCCAAGGGCTTCCTTCGGGTTTCCCACGTGGATGGTCCAAGAACTTGAGCCATCCTCCGCTGCTTTCCCAAGCTAAAAGCAAGGAGCTGGATTAGAAGTAGAGCAGCTGGGATTCAAACTGGTACCCAAATGCGATGCAAGTGGAGGCTTAACCTACTATGTCACTGCACTGCCCCCCCATAGAAATTTTGCCTGAGGAAAGAACAGAAATTATCCCCCATATAGCCCTTCTCCCCAACACACCCGGCCTCCCCTTTATCGAAATCCCCCTCCAAGAAGAACCTTGTCACCATTAATGACCCAGTCCTTAGCCCCACAGTCATAGCTCACATGAGAATTCAACCTTGGCATTGTGTGGTCTCCAATTCTGAGCAACGTCAAGTGACATACTACCCAAAAGAGTGATCTCACAGCTTTACAAATCCCCCTGATTCTTCCATTTGTCCTTCCTTCCCCAACCACAGTTTTGTCTTTTCCAGAAAGTTGCACAGTTGGACATAGTACGTAGTCTTTCT